CTGCCCCCCAGCCAGGGGCGGGACAAAGCCGCCCCCCTGTTTCCTCAGAGGGGAGCCGGGGGAGGTGCTGTTGCTTTGCTGTCCTCTTAAACGCCTGTTCGTTTTGCAGAATGTGACACAGCTGCGTTTTGTTTGGGACACCTGCCTCTTCGACTCGCATTTTAATGGCGCACATCACCATAAATCAGTATTTGCAGCAAGTAAGCAAGTCTTTTTTTACTGTTATCTGTGGGCACTGTTAGAATAGGTGGATGTATTTTTCTTTGCTGGAAGTATGTTACTTTGCCTAAGAAATACAGCCTAGAATGTGTGATGTGGTAAAGAGGTACACTTCTTAAGCCTGTCTTAAGTATACCGGCTGCGTGCTAAAGATGTATACCTGGAATTTCTGAAAACTGTGATGGCTGCTGATAATGGGTAGTGAAGTAATTAATGTGTAAGAACTAACGTGGTGGGATTGTGTGTATGTGCAGTAACAAACGCAGCTCAGGGATTCAAGAAGTACAGAAGTGCGGTGTGTATGGCATGGAGGATGGAGGGGCAGGAGCAGGGTCACAAGTATACCAGCTGGACTGAACTTTCAGTGACAGGCGTTTAGCGTGACCACTCTTACTGCTTTTTTCTGAACCGTCATGTTTTCATCATTGTTACCTTACTCGCTTCAGTCAAGATCAGTCAAGTCAAACGAGTGAAGAGCACAAAAAGAGTAATTGTTTGCTTTTTAATCTCAAAAATGGAGCGGCTGAGATCTCTCAGGACAGTGATCTGCTCTGAAAAGTCAGCATCTTTTCCAGTTGACAGTCCTCGTGATCCTCTGTCTGCACCCTCCTTATCATATACACTGCATCTGTGCATTTGAACTGTGTGCATTTTCTTAAGTTTTTACACACCCTTCACCAATACCTTATCTCTTACCAAAAAAGCCATTTTGCTCTGTGTCAGACTTGGACACTTTACTGGCAGAATGGACACTCACCAGGTGAGGATGGAAATCCAAAGCAGTGGGTAAGGAAATGACAGCAGGATGCATAAAACTTTAAAATGAAGACAGGTAGATTGAAGACATAGCTGTCATACCAAAGGCAACGTCTGGTACTAGCATCTGTATAGAATACTTTTGAAACCTGTCAAGACTGTAAGTGTTGGGAAAAAAAGTTTAATTCTGCTTCCTGCTAAAGATAACTCCATGCAAAAAATAGTCTGAGCAGCTTATTGTGACATCAAGCTGGAAACTTCTTCAGCTGTAAGAAGTAGTTTTAGGTACTACTTCTTAAGAGTTCCTTTCCCACTGCTTGTGCTTTATTTGTCATATTTTTGTGTCCTGATAGAAAGAAGAAAAAAATCTTTTTGCTGTTTGGAAATCCTGTACCAAATGGGAAAAATCAGACTAAAATAGCAAGGGAAGCAGCAAAAGAGGGAAAATCAACTGCTTAAACTCGTTAAGAGATTCATGGGTTTTTTTTTTTTCCAAGTAAAGGAGAGTTAATTTTGTGGTTTGGAAGTAGTTTTTCTTACTAAATGTTGAATTCATACGAAATACATTTGCAAGTCCTGATTCATGACATACAAATTCCATGTGCAGCATTGCAAACAGTAATACTCAAGACTGTTCATGCCTTCATGTATGTGTCTGATGCCCATAAGTCCAACTGGAATTGTAAAAAGCTTAACCAACTCTGGTTCTCAACTGCTGTTTTATAATGCTATAAACCCATGTAAGTTGTTTGGATATTCTCTGGTTTGCTCGTATCCTGCAAATAAGGAAAAAAACCACAATAGTGTTCCCCCCACCTTCTGCCTTATACCTTTTTGAAAAACTGGTGTATTGAAAGTACAGTATTGATTCATTCAGCTTTAAAGCTTTAAAAACTCACATTTGGGCTGGTATTGATGTGGATGAACCCTAGTAACAAGAAGGTGACTTCTGTAGTCATGCGTAAATACATTGTATGGCTGCAGCTGGGTTTTATTCTGTAACGTGGCTGTTTTCTTTGGTAGGTGCAAGAAGCCATTGATACCAGAGATGGACAATTTTGTGCAGAATTGGTATCATTTAAACATCCACATGTTGCAAACCCAAGGCTACAGGTGAGAATCTGTTTTTGACCTTTCTTTTGTTTTGCTTTCAGTTTTCCTAGCTCTCTATATGGGTTCCTTTCCATTGGAGATAAACCTCAGAAATCTGTTTCACAGGCCAGAGCAAGATCCCCTTGTGGGTTTGTTTCTCATTTCTTCTTACAAGGATATTATATGTTTCCATTTTTTTCCTGGATGGCTTTTTGTGTTATACTTTGAATTGTTTTCTGGGTAGATACAGTCTTGAAAGTCCCCTCTGCCCAGGTCAACACTAGTTAGCAATGTGGCACGGTGGAAGTGACTATAAAGAGAAAACCAGTCGGTAGCAAGGGTCCAGTGCTTGTGCTATATACATTTTGGATGCTTTTATTTAAGGCTGGCTCTAATCAGGTTCTGGAGGCAGAATGCACACTAGCAATTCATTATACTACTTGTGATTATTAATATAACTTAAGGTTCTGATAGATAGCAAAGGCATGTATGCATAAAACTGCCATGACAAAATACCCATACAGTCTTCCGTTTCTGGTGCATTGGATGTTCCTTTAATGTTTCATTGATTTATTCTATATTTAGCTTCCGTCTCCAGAGGAGAAGTGTCAACAAGTTTTGGAACCACCATACGATGAAATGTTTGCAGCCCACTTAAGGTAAAGAT